ATTAGCGTATATTAGAGAAATCGCTAAAGACCACGGTTATGGCAACATAATACACAAATTATGTAATCAGCGCCTTCACATAAACAGTAAAACGGATGAAGAAAAGACATCAGGAACAGTTGATAAGGAACATATGGAAAGAATCCCGGTAACATACAACCCGCAAATGAAAATGATATATAATTCAATTGCAAAGAAAAAAGGAATTAGAATTACATACAGAAGAAACCCTTCCATATATAATTTATTAAGGAACGGAAAAGACGCCCATAACCCGAACAGACTACCGGGAATATACACCATTCCCTTAATAGACGACAGATGGCAGAGGCAACTAATTTACATAGGATCTACTAAACGTCCGTTAGCCACTAGAATAAAGGAACATAAAGCAGATATCACCCACAACAAATATACAACAGCATTGTCTACATATGCAACAAACCCGGACATAATCCCGATTTTTAATGAGGCACGAATCATTCACACCACTCGTCATCAGGAACATCTAAGAACCTTGGAAGCGATGGAAATATACAGAGCAGATCGCAAATTAACCTGCATCAATCTTAAAGAAGAAATGAATCTTTCAACAGCGTGGCAGTATCTATTGGATGATGAATCGTAATTTATTATACGATACACGTGATTATTAGGGGATACGCACATCGTATCGCTACTAGTAAAATTATTTTTAGAAACGGCACGTGATTAGTTAAAATCGTATCGCCAACAGTTAAAATTATTTTTAGAAACGGCACGTGATTATAAGATACACGAGATTATTATGGGATGCGCACAACATATCTCCACGAATATAATTTATAAAAAAAAAATAATTTGGAAAGGCACGTGATTACCTTCCTTATTCAAACTTCTAGTAACTGAGCACGTTCTTATTTAAAAACATTCGATTTAAAAATCCAGTGCAGTAAATTTGGCCTGAAGAAGAGCCCAGGAGGGGCATCAAAAGCGTTTGCCAATCTTTGTTTGGAGTTTTCACGCCGGATATTGGTTAAGAAGTGAGCATATTTGTTTTATAATAATTTGTTTTTAATACAGGCTTAAGTTTACAGTATTATTGTTGTTATTGGTTAAAATTGAATGTCCAGTGGAGTTAAAAACGAAAGAAAAAAGTTTGAAAATTGTAAGAATTTTATTAATGTAGATAAATAAATAAGTTTGTCGGGAAATGAAAAACGTAATTTTAAAATTATTTTATTGTTCTAATAGAATGTACTACAAAAATACCTGCTGAAGAGGGACGAAAAAGTCCGAAACACAATATTATGGATGTGTCCAGGTATATTAAATAAAACAAAAAATTATTTTCTGTAAAACTCTGTAGCATTATCTGTAAAGCCAGTATAATAAGTCCTGATATTAGAAAATACGTACTTGTAGATGAAAATTTATATATATTATATTAAATCAAGGACATTGAGGCATTTTAATTAAACATATTACTGTTGTCTTAGTTTGTCTTAAAGATGAATCACAGTGCTTCAAAATGTTTGGTAATCGAATTCCAACACCAATTGGGAGACTGGAATAATTCAGCAATAAACAAGTCTATTAAAAAGCCTTAACTGAATTGCAGCAAGATTTAATACAAAATAAAACTTTCGGATTTGTAGATTGAAAACAGTAATGTTTTCAATCTACAAATGGAAATCTTCTTTGGGTCATATATTTGATGATGGAATGCTTGCATCATTCAAATTAAATCTTACTGAAATTCAATTAAGGCTCTTTGATAGATTTGTTTATGTATGACAATAAATATAAATGATTGAAACTGACAGAAAGTTGTAAATTCCTTAAGAAATATAATTTTCTGTGATAAAATTCTCTCTTGATATCATCTTTCTGCTTCTCTTTAATGTTTAAAAAACAAATATTTAACAAACTGAATAAATACAGTCAAGTCCGCATAAGTCGACACCCCATGGGTGTCGACTTATGCGGTGTCGAGTTATCCAATATGGGTGTCGAGTTATCCAATATGACGACTAAAGTGAAGTTGAAAAAACCACAATACTACAATTAGGAAAATACAGTAGTGCAATGTACTGTACCTCTCTGACCATCCATCACTGGCACTAAAGTTGATTTCTACTCCAAGTACCCTGACAATATCCATCACCTTTTGTTTCAGTATCAGCCGCAAAACGGGAAGATTCGACAAATGAATTTGCTTTAGCCAATGTATCAGATCATCTTCGACATCTTTCTCCAGCATTTTTGAGACACCCACGATGAAAATCCAAGAAAAAGTTTCTTAATTTCCTCTTTTTTCTTCAGGATTCCCACCAATGTTGTTCTTGGAAGGTTTTCTTGTTTTGCAAATTCGGCTTGCAAAGTTTTCTTAAATTCAGATTCAGATACAAGTTCGTATTTTTCCTTCCACGTAAAGCGTTGTTAGCTTTCGGACACTTATTTCTGACAGAAATGAAACAGGTGCTAAAAGTAATGCATGAAGTGAGAAAATGCAAAATCGGATTCTGCTGTGACGTTGATATAGATTGTATGTTTTCTTTTTGGTTATCTGTTATTATTATATATGTTATGGACAAAGTGATTAATACGGGCATTATGAATAATGACCAACAAAATCGGGCATTGTAATAAATTTCAATAATTTATCAAATTGACCGGTCATTATGAATACTGCTACCACCTAGTCGGGCAAAGTGATAATAATATGTTGAGGAGTGATCATCCGGCATATGTTAGCCAATCAGAACTTACATCTTACTTGCTCACGTGTATTGCATTTAGTACCGAACTTTAAATTTAAATTTATGTGACCAGTAGTTAATCTTTCTTCTTTGACAAAAGTAACGATCATGAAGGAATCATTAAGTGATATGAATAATCGCTTCAACAACCGATTAAACGAGTTAAAAACCAAAAGGGCTGAAGAAGTAGCATATGGTCTTTTAGATATTTTTACNTCTAATGTTTCATTCTCCTCACTTCCAGATTTGTTATTCTCGTCCTGAATTTCTGCGATATCGATAACACTCTCTGAGGAACACACCTCCACACAATCATCCACTGTGGTGTAGTCGGTTTCATCAACAGAGGCAGTTTCTCATAGATTGTGACAACATTGCAGTAGTTCATCCAATTGAACATTCTGTTCTTCACCATTATCTTCATCTTGAACTGCCACTGTAGAACGAAATCCTGCATGTTTAAAGCAGCTTGCAATAGTTAAGCATGTTACATTTTCTCACTCAACCTTCACGTAATGAATTGCATCTAACAGAGAAATGTCAATTGATTTTCTGCTTTCTACCGTATGAATCAAATCCAGAATATGATTCTTCCAATAATGAAGTTTGAATGAATGAATAATACGATCCAGCGTTGCACTACAGCAGTGGCATTCAGCAGTAGAGTAAACACATTAATCATTGTAGTCCTTCAGCTTTTCCATGAGCAGTACAGTTTTCAACAACAAATGCTATGTTCCTCTTTTGCTGAACAAATTGGGAGTCATATTTGTGGAGAATTTCCTCCCAAATTTTGGAAGTCATCCAACTTTTTGAATTTGCCTTGTATATGACGTGCAAACTCTTCACTCCCTTAAAACATCAAGGCTGTTGAGATTTTCCTATAACTAAGGGCTTCAGCTTTTCAGAGCCATCAGAATTTGCTCCAAGAAGGATTGTAACTTGCAGCTTTGATTTGCTTCCACTATGGCAACTCTCGTTTTTAAATATAGCGGTTTTCTCTAGAAGCAATTTATAGAAAAGTCCAGTTTCATTAAGATTGAAAACATTTTTTGGTTTTCAATCTCTTGTTAAACTGTCTTTTTCAAGTTCCAACTGAGGTCATATCGACAGATTCTTTTTCTCCACACAGTTTTTTAAAAGTCACTCCATGGCGACCTTTAAATCTCTCTAACCATCCGTCACTAGCACTAAAGTTGGTTTATACTCCAAGTACCCCAGCAATTTCCGTCACCTTTTGTTTCAGTGTCAGTCCTGAATCAGGAAGATTTGATGAACAAATTTGATTTAGCCAATGTATCAGATCATCATCGACATCTTTCTCCAGCATTTTTGAGACACCCACGATGAAAATCCAAGAAAAAGTTTCTTAATTTCCTCTTTTTTCTTCAGGATTCCCACCAATGTTGTTCTTGGAAGGTTTTCTTGTTTTGCAAATTCGGCTTGCAAAGTTTTCTTAAATTCAGATTCAGATACAAGTTCGTATTTTTCCTTCCACGTAAAGCGTTGTTAGCTTTCGGACACTCATTTCTGACAGAAATGAAACAGGTGCTAAAAGTAATGCATGAAGTTAGAAAATGCAAAATTGGATTCTGCTGTGATGTTGATATAGATTGTATGTTTTCTTTTTGGTTATCTGTTATTATTATATATATAAAAATACATAAAATGTTAAGGCATTTTTATTAATATGTATACAGTATATTAATAAATAAGTTGACTCCCCTCCTGAAAAAAATGAGTTTGCACCGCACAGTACGATGTGAACTCATTTTTTTCAGGAGGGGAGTCAACTTATCAGACGTCTAAATGAGGGTGGGACAGCAAAAGTATGTCGATTTATCCAGTGGTAACGAGTTAAACGGTGTCAAGTAAACCAGAGTTTTTTAACATTAATGCCTTGTAAGTTGGCCAGGACCACAGAAAACGGACTACTTAACCGATGGTGTCAAGTTATATCTATGATGACTTATGTACTCTCGACTGTATGTTTGGCTAAATATATCAATCAGAGATTTGGCATAATGACATAATGAATACTACAAAAGTGAAAAATAGAAAAAGAAAGTTTTGTTTTTTAAAATGTAGCTTTTAATTAAAATTTTATTGAAGTTCAAGAAACAGCTACTATTACTCTATCATAAATTTATAAATATATCATTACTAAGATTTTAATATTTTTAATAACAATTCTCATATTATAGATGATCTGATAGCATCATCAAAAATGAAAGTTAGCATAAAATTACTTCAACTTACTTTTCTTCTCTAATAGAATTATTCTGCTTGCTTCGACTATACGGAATTGGTGAATAACTTAAAGATCTTGATTCTCTGGTCAACGATAAATGTTTTTCATTTTTCTTATGATTTTCTTTTTCATTAGGCAATTTCTTGTGATGTTTTTTTTTAACAGGTAACTTTTCTCTAAGAACAAGAAAATTGTTATCATTGAAAATTAATAAAAAATAAGTATATTCATTTTAATAATAATCTAATTATTTTCTTAACAAAATAATTATTTTAATCAATTATTATCAATATTTGTATAACTGTATATTCTTTACTTCTATAATTTTAAACAATTTTTCCCTCTTTTTACTGTTGTATATTTAATTATTTTTAGGCTAGTTTCAGAGTTGGTCAAATCTGTGTGAATTCAAAATGAATCAAACACTAAGAAGAGTACAGGAGTTAAATCTTTTTATTTGGTTGAACATTTTTTAATATTTCTCTGTCCCATTGTCAGAGAAAACAGTTCAAGTCATAAATTTGAACAAGAAATCCTTATGTTTCTGTTGAGTGACCCAGAGAAATTCACAAGTGTTAGTAGTTTTTTAAAAATTAAAACAAATCTTACTTCATTTAAAATGTTTCCATTAGTTTTTAAAGGTAGATGACATCAATTCTGTAAAATATGACTGATATTTTTGTTGCAGAATTAAAAAAAAAAAAAAAAAAAGTAAAATAAGTAGAAAAATAAAATGACAAAAATTCTAATGAAAAAATAGAACATAAGACAAAAAACAAAATATAATAGGATAAATTAATATGAATGGAAATATAATATCACATAGTAGCCTTATAAATATATTTTAGTCCCAATTAAGGATCCTGACATTTTGGAAGTTAAAATCAACACTGAGTAGGAAGTGGACAATAATAAGATTTACCAAAAACATTCATATTACTCAATAAATTGTTTGCCAAAAGTATTTATTATGTTTAGTTTGTGTTTCATTTCCATACTTCTTACTAGATTACTTATTGAAATTTTAGGTCACATGATACAAGTCTTGAATGAATTGTAAAGGAGTCAATGTCCGACCGTTATTTTATGTTTTGGGCGTTATTTTTATTTAATTATTTTCTTTTCAGGGTTCATTTTAGTTAAGGACAAACTCCTAAGCACAGGTGGCAAATAAAGAAAAGCAAACTTAGTTTGCATCCGTGCCTGAGCCTGTCACGCAAATGTATGCAAATTAAGACAGTGCACTAAACGTTAAATAAAAAGCGGCACATCGACTATGGAGAGAGTAGTAGCATCTGGCAACAACGGTTGGTGAGACATCTGTGATCACTTAGCAGAAGCCATATATTTTGGCTGTTGGATCCTTTTGAGGTGGAGATAAAAAAGTTTTCTTTGAATTGATATTGTAAGTACGATTTTTTTGAATTTTTGATTTTTTGTTGTTGGTGTTGCATTTTATGCTTGACACGTGTCAGTAGCTAAGTGATCCAAGATAACCTAATCGATTTTGATCGAAATTAATGACCTGGTTTTAAGTGATTGATTGATTTTTGATTTTTTGTTGTTGCTTTCACTTATTCAACTAACTATTGGGACAATTAACCCATTATTGTTTTTTCAATATAATAAAACTTATATTTATTGTGAATTATTACCTGTGGTTTTGGAAATTATTGTTTTTATTTGGAAAGTCCAGGCCTGGTACTTGAACCCTAATATTGTGTAACCCCTTTTTTTGGTTTCGTAAATGGTGCGTTACACAATGTTCAAACTTTCAAATGCTCAGAAACACTAAAATGCAATATCAACATTTGTGTTCCATTTTTTTTTTTTTGTTTATGGATTCTGGTGACGGAATTTATAGTCCCAAAAATGTTTAAATCCGAATAAAAAAAAAAAAAAATGAACTCCTTAACCATTCCGATGTTACATTTTCTTCTAACATTTAGAGGAGTCATCTAGTTTGTGTGTTTTTGTAGCTCCATTTTTTGACTTTCTTAACCAAAAATCTGACTCGATTGCAAAAATTGGACTTGCTAGTTTGTCTTGTTTGAACATATTATTTTGTATATCTTGTCAGTTGGACCATCATTTGGTATCCAACAGGCCTTGCTGAATTCCAAACAAGTTCTTATCATGTTCACACCAGCTCAAGGGAGTTCTGGATGAGATGCAGCCTAGGTAGCTGCCATTGACACGCGTGAAGTAAAAATTCATAGATGATTACATCAACAAATTTTCAATTGGCAGAACCCAAAGAATTTGTTGACAGAAAACACAAGAGTTAATTTTCTGCTTACTTCACAGATTTTTGATTTCAAACTGGCTTGTGAGACACTTTGGAATAAAATGTGAACTTGTCAGTAAATCTTTTATAGGAATTTAAATGATTTTAGCTGTAAGAACATCTTACTAATAATATAATAGGAATCATGAACAATACATAGACCTACCTACCACTCACATTCATTTTCTAAAGAAATTGAGGTAAAAGTCACTTTTGAAATCACCTGTTCATATACAGTAGACCCCACTTGTAACACAGTAGATATGTTCTGTATTTTATGAAATTCATGTTGTACAAGTCCTTAAATACATGAGCCAATCACAGCCCAGCATGTATGCAGTTTACAATAAAAGTTACAAAGACAAAACATAAAAAATAAAAAAATGTAAGTAATATAAAACTGAAGTTAAAGTATATAAAGTAGACAGCAGTATGGCTAGGAGTTACATGTTACAAGATTAAGCCGTTACAAGTGACAATTTGCAGAATTTCTTCGCCAGTCTGGAGAAGGCGAGATAGATTTCCTTGTTAACAAGTAGGTCGGAGTGACAGAATGGTCAAGGGATGCCAAGGTTCTGCAATAGAATTCTAATCTCCAGTCGCTCTACTTCAAGAATGGGACAGTCAAAAATGTAATGAGTCCCGCTGTCCTCAACTTGACAAAAGGACAGACGTGAAGGATGGTTGGTGAAGCAGGAGAGATATGCACTGAACTTTCCATGTCCAGTAAGAAACTGAGTTGTATGGTAGCTCGACACAAACCAGTCAAGCTTCATAGATTCACTAATGTTTGGAATATAGTTATAGGTAATGCAGGTGTTGTTACTGTTAGGCTAAGACTCCACTACCGTAAAAACTTTTAATCACGTGACCTATTTGAGTTTGTGCTGGTATTATGTTGGAGGTCCGGCTAGGGCAAAGTTTTTACGGCGACGGTGCTGCCCAAAGTGTCGAAAGTAAATACTTCTTCGCACGTGAATTGGTGGAAACGGAAGATGGTTGTATATGTGATATATCGATATAAAGACAATGATTATGTTCTACGAGTATTTTCTGTACTATAATTACAAATGTAGTAAAAATAATATCGTTACTTTAATATACTAACTTTTATTATCGTATTATTAAGATAATATACAGCACTTATAAGCTTAGCTTTTTTATTATATACTCCTCTAAATTGAAGGATTTCCTTTGGTATCCATTATTATAATTGGGTTATCTCTTGTCGTACATACACGAATACTTTCGATAAATCTTTCCGGATCTATTCTAGGGTAGCCACGAGAGAATGTACACAAAAACTTGTTTTCCGCCATTTTAGCTCGTGTCGCGATGACCTAGATTTCACTGACTTCTGATTGGTGGAAGGTACCTCTTTACGGCCGTATTCGCGTTGAAAGTTGAACATAGCTCAACTCGCTTTTACGCTGGTTTTACAGCCTGCTCAGGCATAAGATATCGGGGTCACGTGATTAAAAGCTTTTACGGTGAGGGGTTTTTACGGTAGTGGAGTCTTAGCCTTATACTTTTTTTGCCAGGTAGAGAGGGTGTCCCTCCAGAGGAGCTGGCATAAAGTGTGCTTGCTTATCTTGTCGTAGATAACAGGGATGGTATTGTCCGTGGTGGCTGCTTTGGCAAGCTGGTCAGCATGCTTGCCAGGTAATGGTATTACTAGTGCTGTTGATGATGTTCCTGATCTCAGTGGTGAGTTGGTGTATATTATTGCCCTTGATTAAGGAGTAAGCAGATAAACAGTCAGTGATAATTTGGATGTAACTGGAGAAATAGTTGTTTATAGACCAGAGGAAGGCCATTTTAATGGCAAGGAGCTCAGTCTGGAAAATAGTGCATAAGTGACTGAGATGATATTGCTGGAAGTGTACTTCAACCTGATTGATGTAGACAACAAAACTGCAGGTGACAGAGTAGTGGATTTTGGACCCACCAGTGAAGATTTGTGAAGTAGAGTTATCGAGGTTGTTCAGATCATTTTCACAGAGAAGGGTATTGGAGAATGGATATGGAGACTCATAACTGTAGCAGTTGATCAGACCAGCACTGGAATTAATTTCTTCTCCCTGTTTGATGTTTTGTATCTTCCCATTAAGCTGGATAATCAGGTCAATGAGAGGCTTCCTGGAGATGATTTGAATACTGCAATTTGAAGCAGTACGATAGCATTTAGTAATGAGCATAAGTGCCAGATGTTGAGATGAGATGAGTCTTCGTTTGATGTGAACTTTGTTGGATGCCCAGCCACAGCTGCCGCAGGCATAAGTGACCATGGGAATATAAATCTGGTCGTAGATTGTGTTCATGGCACCTGATGAGAGACCCCAGGTTCTTCTTGCTACCTGAGCAAATGCCTGCATGATTAAACCCGTACAGTTGGCGACAGCTTCAACGTGAGCGTCCCAGGAGAGGCAATGGTCCCATACCAAGATATTTGAGGTGTTTTGCTATTCTGATGTTTTTACCATCCACCTTGATCTGGGGGATCCTTAAATAAAGATTGGGTTGACTAGATTTATTTAGTACAATGCCTTTGGTTTTGAGAGGATTAAAGTTCAGTTTGTGTTTAATTCTCCAGTTGTGGATTTCCCTTAGCATGTAAGTAGTATATAAATGAGAGTTCTCCCCAACCCCAAATTTTTAAGTTTTTAAAATTCAATGAATTTAAACAAAATTAAAAACAATGAAATCTCGTTGATTCCTAATTTTTAAGTTTTTTAAAATCAGTGAATTTAATCAAAAAAATTAAAAACAATGAAATTTCGTTGATTCCTTATTTTTAAGTTTTTTTAAATTCAATGAATTTAACTAAAATCAATAGTAAAATTCAACGAATTTAAACAAGAATTATAAACCACAGAAAATCTCGTTGAT